CGGCAATTGATAAAACTAGAATAGTGAAGCGAATAGTACGAATAGTGCGAATAGTCGACGAATAGTGCGAATAGTCCGCGAATAGTCGACGAATAGTGCGAATAGTCCGCGAATAGTCGACGAATAGTACGAATAGTCCGCGAATAGTCGACGAATAGTGCGAATAGTCCGCGAATAGTCGACGAATAGTGCGAATAGTCGACGAATAGTACGAATAGTCCGCGAATAGTCGACGAATAGTGCGAATAGTCCGCGAATAGTCGACGAATAGTCGACGAATAGTGCAATAGAGAATTTGCAAGGCTTTCCACCGTGCTGTAGAACTAAATTTACCGAAGCGGGGCGGGGGGGGGGGCTCTATTGACAAACATGAAATCGTGAAAACATTCGTTGATGTCAATGACGTCATACGTAATCGGTAAAAATTACGGGACCACTGAGTTTTAACAAATATTTAACAGGAAGTAGAATGACAATCAGTGGCGCCGTGGGACCCATGTTTTTTTTTTGGGGGGGGGGCAAGGGCAGTACTTTTCCGACAAACCGAAAAATTTTTCCGACAAACCAAAAAGTTTTCCGGACGACAACATTTTAAATCTTCACTCCCCCCCCCCGTCGACAACTTTGACAATTTCCGACAGCCTTGACAATTTTCCGACAATTTCCGGCAGCATTGGCAATTTTATGACGGGTGTCAACAATAGGGGAGGGCCATGCCCCCCCCCGGCCACGGCGCCACTGATGACAATCACTAGACGTATGACGTCATTGACGTACGTCGACGAATGTTTTCACGATTTCATGTTTGTCAACAGAGCCCCCCCCGGTAAATTTAGTTCTATAGCACTGCTGCAAAGCCTTGCAAAGTCTCTATTGCACTATTCGTACTATTCGTCGCCTATTCGTGGACTATTCGTACTATTCGTCGCCTATTCGTCGACTATTCGTACTATTCGTCGACTATTCGCGGACTGTTCGCACTATTCGTCGCCTATTCGCGGACTATTCGCACTATTCGTCGACTATTCGCGGACTATTCGTACTATTCGTCGACTATTCGCACTATGCGCTTCACTATTCTAGTTTTATCAATTGCCTTCTATTTTCTAGACACGCACCTCGCAAGGAAGCTTTATTGACTATATACTAAAACAAATTGCCGTTTTGAGTTCAGTTCACATAGCAGTCTCTTAACTCGAGCAACAGTTTAATAACTATTATTTTTAACACTTGAATAATTCAAACTTATATATATACGAACGAAAACTGCAAACTATATAAATAAAGCGTGTCAATTTTCGACT